GCCTCTTCCACATTTGTTAAATTTCAATTTGAATTAACTTAATAACAAAGCATGAACATTATTTCTTTAAACGTATTTGTGTAATTAAAAGATTATGCACGTGACATATAGCCCACAATTACCATAGTTTAGTGTAATTAGCATGGTCGTTACTACCCCACTCTACAAATATCCAACGCTTGACCTTTTTTCTACTTTTTTTTTTTTTAAATTGAATTGGCAATAAAATCTTTTTATAATTATAATAGTAGGATTAAACTGATTTATTACTATAAGAAGATTATAAGTTAATAAATGTGTAATTACAAAAATTATTGTTTTTATTTTTTATTTTATAATTCACATTTTAGTAGTATGTATTAGGATTTCAATTCATTATTTCAGTAGTATTAGAATTTCTTATTTACTTTTAATACTACTATATTTTTTATTTTATAATTCATGTTTTAGATAAATATTTTATTTAATCTTAAACTTTTAATGTAATATATATATAATTATTATTATATAGAGACAACTTTCTTAAGACGGGAATTAAAAAAATTATAACTTACATAATGTGGAGTTTATTCTTGTTTATAACTATTCCAAATTGAGATTATAATTTTTTATGACTACATAAATGTTATTCATATATAGAGAATCATTATAGAGTTGTTTTACTATTAATTTTTAACTTAATTTGTTGTAATCATTTTCCAATAAATGATATTGAAAGTTGCTGATTAAAAATAAAAAATAATAAGGATTTATTTCATATAATTTTTATGGAACTATTTAATATAAGTAGATTCAAGCTTTTCGAAATTTATAAAAAATAAATTTTTTGTGATTATTGTTGATACGAAAGCTCATACTAACTAGAGAGATCCGATTGACCTTGACAAAATCAGAACATTTATTGTAAACTAACAATGCAATGTAAATATACGGTAAAGTTAATAAAACAAATAAAATTTTAAAGGAGTTTGACAAATTAGAACTTAAACTTATATCCACTGTTCTCTTATTGCTTTTGGAGAGCTTACAAGAGAAATAAATTGAATGCCTTAAACATATTGCTAACTCCTCTCTCATAGTTTGAGGGGGTGTTTATATAAGTTTTAGTAAAAGAAAAGAGAGATAAGTTTGGGATTACGATCAGATTTGGTATGCAATCCCATGATCTTTATGATTGAGCGTTGAGATTGCACTGCCAACGGTGTTGACCTTATCTTTTTCGAAATACTCGAGATTGAAGCTTATTCTCAACTGTTAGGATTGGTTGTTGCGACAAACTTCAATTGGATCAAACTTACTCTAGATTGTACAAATTTTGGGTCAAGCTTGTTTTAGGTCGTGCTTGATTTTGGGTCGAATTACAACTCTGCGAACTTCTGATATTTACGAGCTTTCTGACACACAACAATTATTATTTTATACTTAGATTATTAAAAATCCTCCCAGGTGCTTTCAACAATGATAAAAGGATTTATAATAGTTTTCAAAGACTTTAGATGTACTTAAGACTAAACGACCCTACAAAAATATATAAAAGAAACCCTAAATTACTATGTAATTGAAATAATTAATTAAAAGGATAAAAGGAGAGAGATTTGATGATGTAAAAAGAGGTCAACAGAGTAGTGAGATATGATATACATATTTGCAGGGGATCGAGGGACAGAGGCCCCATCACCGTACACGTGGTGATTATAAAGTGAACAGAGTACGAAGGCACAATAAAAAAATACGTCAGACGATGATCAATAACAACTAGGCCCCATGTGCCCTCCTGTATTTCCCATCAGTATAAGCGGTTTTTCCGCTTATTGCCAAAACCATACATTTATTTAAATAAAAAAATATATTAAAAAAAAAGCTGATTTGCTTTTTGAAGAAGCGATTTAATGGAATTCGGAGTACGTGGGAGCAGGTTCACATGATGAAATAGTCTTCTCTTTTGGGGTTTAATTGTAATTAGTAGTAATTAATAAAGTGAAAGATGAAGCTGCGGCTCCAAACAGACACGTGTATATTTTGGTATCCAATCATGTGGCGTGTCTTTTTAGATACTCCTTTAATCGTCTTTTCTCTTGTCTTTTTCTTTTCGGCATTTCATCGAAATTTGTTACATGAAATCAAATTATTATTTACTAAAATATATTTATAAGTTTTTTGAAATATTATTTATTTAAACCACAAAAAGATTATTCCAAAACAAAACATTTCTTTTCACGGAAAGCAAATGTCTTTGGAAATTCAATCATTTCGATTCACCTTTTCTTAATCAACTCATCTTATTTTTCAAACTTACTGTTTTCTTTTTCAAATTCATCATCACATTAACTCAATATTTTTTTTTAAAAAATATCTAAATTTCAGACATGTTGTCTAAATAATGCTTAATTCCAAAGTTTTATATACTATTTGAAAAAAAAAAATTGGAGATTAAAGAGGTATTTATTATATATCTGGCAATTAATGTGATTGATAATTAGATTGATTGAAACGTTTGTGATTAATTGATGATTTTCGATTTCTTATAAACGTTGTATTATAAATATTATCAAGCTTGCTTTTACAAATCATAGACATCTTTTTTAGAAGATAAAATTTTTAAATATCTTAAAACTTTAATTTTTAACATAAATACCTTAATTTTGTCATGACTAAGTTTAAATACCATTGAACTCATCTTTAAATATCATTTCAATACAATGATTATAAACTAGTTATAATAGATAATAACAATAATGAATAATAGATAAATAAATATGATTTTATTTCATTAGTAAGTGTAATAAGTGAAATTTAAAAAAAAAAATTCTTTTATTTCATTGGTTTTTACCATTAAAATGAATATAAACTTATTATTAGTTTTAAGTACTAAATTTTAATATGAATTTTTTTTTAAATATTAAGAAATGTAATAACAATTTCCGAGGTAAAGAGGAATATGAGGACCAATAGCATTTCCAAACAACTATGGACAGTGTATTAATTGTATATATCAAAATATGAATTATGATTTGACATTTAAAATTAAACATTAACATCCATTTTCAATTTGGTAGGCTATCACTACTATATAATAGCAAACAAAATAGATTATTTTTGTGATTGATATATTTCTTTTTATTATTTAGGATAAGGCCAACTTAAATGTCAATGTTGACATGTTTTTTTTTTTTTTTTTTTTTTTTTAAATTTAATTTTTAATCTTTTAACTTTATGTAAACATATACCCCTTAGAAAAATTGAAATATGTATACCCAACCATATGTGATATTTAAACTCATATACAGCATTAATTTACATTCAATTGTAAATCCTTTTTATCATATATTTGCCTATAAGTCATCAAAGATTGTTTGTTTATTTATTTATTTTAATTATATAACTTAAACCTAATTTTTTTTTGGTTAATTGAAGTGTTTGACAGTTTAAACATACTTCGGCTAATCCTGTTTCACAGCAACCATGGCCGTGTAAACCTAAAAATTTTCATTTACCTTCTCTTATAACTTATGAATTTAAAAAATGGAACATTTATTAGCGTTTTCTTAATTAAAATATATAAATGTCTCCCAAAATTTATTAGCGTTTTCTTAATTAAAATATATAAACTTGAAAACAATTTGAATTTTTGTTAGGAATTCATTTTTGCCGAGCTTGAAAAGGGAAAATAAAGTATGCGTTTGGTTTATTATTTTGGGTAGGATTTTGGGGATAGTATTGGATAATTGAATATGGGAGTATTACGAGGTAAAATTTAAAAATTTATAGAAAAACCCCTTGCTAATTTCATAAATACCCCCAACATGTAAATTGACAAAAATACCCCAACCACCTGCAGTGCTAGATTCTGGCCACCACCGCCAGAATCTGGCCGGAAAATCGAGTTACGACACAGACCGGTCGGATCTGTGTCGTAACGAGTCGTTATGGCCTTTTCCGGCCAGATCCACCACAGATCTGACCGAAAAAGGCCAGATCTACGGCCTGCCGTGGCCGTTGATGGCCGAAAAAGGCCAAAACGACGGCCATCTTTGGCCGTCAGCGAAGGCCAAAGATATGGCCGTCGTTCACGGCCAGATCTGGCCTTTTCCGGCCAAATCCGTGGTGGATCTGGCCGGAAAAGGCCAGATCGGTGAACTTCCGGCCATTTATGGTCGGCAGGTTGGCCGTTGTATGGATTTCGGCTACCACCGATGGTGGTTGCCGGAATCTGGCGAGTATGGGTTATGGGGGTGTTTTTGATAATTTTTAAACTTTTTTTTAGGGTGTATTTGATGAAATTAATAACCTTATGGGGTCTAAAAGTAATTAAAAAAATAGGGTAATATTCTTGGAATAACGTAACAATTTTGTCTCTTTTTCCATTTGCCTCTTCAACTTTTTGAGCTACTGCTCTTGTCATGCATATCTGTGTAGTTGGCTCAATTTTCTTAAGCTTTTTATAATGGAAATACAGATTTTATGTGTAAGTTTCCATATTGAGAATATAAGATAGACAAAGGCCTAATAAGAAATCCTATTAAAAAAGTCCAATTTTAAGCATAGATATTTTCAGGGTTTTAAGCTTGTAAATAGGCTACACATTTGCTAGACCGGGGAAATACTTTTAAGATATTAATGCTGATATAGAAAATGGTGTCTTCTAATCTAAACGAAGACTCGATAGAAATCAGGTTCTTTAATCCTCATTCAGGCTATGGCTGTTTATGAACAGTGGAGATGACTTTATAGGGATATTTGATTTTCTTCAAAATTAAGAAAGCATTGTTTTTCCTTACTGCTCTATGTCTTTTGTGACTGTCAGACTTTCTATTTGTCTCATGCATGTGGAATGCTTGTTATTGCTTATTTTAGGTAGCTGCTTTAATATATAGAATTCCTGGAACTTGTTGATAATTTCTAGCAATTGCCAGATGTTTATACCATTTTTTCCTTTAATTTAAATTAATTTTTGTGCCTGTTTACCAATGATTAAAAACTTTCCTTTTTGCATGAAGCCAATGGCGATAGAACAAGTAATGTCAGATCAAGATAGTGAGGATGAAGTTGATGATGACATTGCAGATTTTGAAGATCGAAGGGTATGCCTGGTGATTCTATCATCTTCATTTTGCTTGTTTTCTTAGTTGAAACTCTTCTTACCCTAATAGAACTTGCCCTTCTTTCCTATCAAATTATGTGGAACTAGTTCAAAATTTTATGAAGTATAACGCTTTTGTCAAGTAAAGTTAATTGTTATTGTAAGACAAGAACTTGGGTCATTAGTTATATGTTTCAAGTGCTTAGTTTCACCAATTTTTAGTACTCGTTGGGCTTGAAATTGCAATGAATTGGATGATATCATGATGCATTTTTCATCCTTTGACCTTTTAAATAGTAATTTGATCCTGTTTACTTCTAACGTATGGGAATTTTACTTTGTTTTGTCTCCTATTATATGTAGACCAAGTTTTCACTTGTGAATGAGTATTTTTAATTGCTTTGATAGGAACTTGGAAAATAATATGATATTGTCATATTGCAGATGCTTGATGATTTTGTTGATGTTAGCAAAGATGAGAAACAACTTATGCATCTTTGGAACTCATTTGTGAGAAAGCAACGGTAGTTATTGCTTACCTCTTCAAGCGTTCTATCTTTTATTTTTCAGTTCTTTCATATTATTTTTCATTGTTGTCTGTTTTTGTTTGCCAAGATGTTGGGGGAAGTCAATGGGATCTGAGGTGCACCACTTTATGATGTTCTGTATGATCTGGTTTTTAGCTTAAAAGGCTATATCTCCTTTTTTGGCAGGGTCCTGGCGGATGGTCACGTTCCTTGGGCTTGTGAAGCATTTTCCAGACTTCATGGGCGGGATCTGGTCCTTTCTCCAGCACGATTTTGGTAGTTTCCTTCATTAGTTCTGTCCTCTTTGTTCTTGTTTTTGGTTTAAGTTAGTGCAAACTGTGCTGTTAAACATACGGTGAAGGACCAATCTTGGTTTAAGTTCACTAACTATGTGTAGGCCAGCTATTCATGATGATTAGTGGAATGGTATCCACCCTACCATGACTGAAACCAATCAATGATCTAATTATATTATAGAAACTCATAATACAGAACCTGAGAAAGAAATTTGCAAAAATGTCATTCATATTATGCTTTGTGTATCTCGTAAATTTTAATATCTTGTAAAGGTTATTTTAAATGAAGTCATGGGTTTTATTTGATCTATTAGAACATTACTCTACTTGTACTGGAACCAGTTTCGATAGTTTTAATTTAAAAGAAAAAGAGAACAAGGGTGTTCTGGGGGTGGTGGTGGTGAGGGTCCAATTGTAGCTTTCCTGTATTCATCTATAGAATTCGAAAAGTGACCACTCTAAATAAATAGCATTTGAATGCTCTATTAAACGACTATATAGAATGTTATTAATTGCTATCTATCTGATTGGTTGTGCCATTCTGCTGGTATGCTTTGTCAACTGCAAGGAGATCATCTATGCGATATATTTTATTATGATTGTTATGTCAACCTTGATTTTTTTTTTTTTTCTTGGTTGATTACATTTTTCTTCTCTGCCACAAGCTTCTGTTAGTCTTTATGACCCAGTTTAAGTTACCTTGTACTTTTCTCATTTCTCGGATATCTTTATTTGAACTATCAATTATTAATGGCCTCAGGTGTTGGAGGCTATTCATGATCAAACTCTGGAATCATGGTCTTCTTGATGGGTGCACAATGAACAACTGTAACCTGATTCTCGAAAGATGCCAGGATGAGGGATCAGATGTAGTTAAAAGCTAAAGAGGAGACCGGTAACTACTTCCGACTTGAAAGAGTACAGAAAAGAAAGTGCCGTTGATTTTCTCCTGTGACGCCACTTTTTTTATTCTCTCTCTCCTTCCCTCTTATATAAATTAGTAGATTAGAGATTGACTGAATATTCTTTCCCATACAAAAGAATGGACGTCGGAGTTTACCTTTTCACTGTTGTAATCTTATTCAGTACGGGTCTCGGGTAACGTGTTCGCATTACTGACACAATTAATTGTAAAATTTAGCCACAAATTGATCTGCCAGCATTAGCTATACCATATGTAAAGCTACTATTGATTTCATCTAACACAATTCATTGTGGAATTTTGCTACAAATTGATCAGCCAGGTGCCAGCCTTAGCCATAACATGCTATGTAAAGCTACTGTTGATTTGATCTAAGAACAATAAACTGGCTGCTCAAAGCTGGCTTAGGGAGCTCTTAACTTGATTTTCCCTTAGATTTTGTACTGGGAAAGAAACAGGACTCGAGCTGACCTTGGATGAGATAGTCCCTTCTAATTGTGATTTGCAATTTACATAAACTTTTCACTATCAATTTTAGTTTGATTTGCAATTTACATAAACCTTTTACTATCAATTTTAGTTTTCTTGAAAAGAGTTAAAAACACCCTTTTCATTCTTCAAAAGGATTTTGACATATATAACTAACTCAATAATCACAATTTCCAAAATGGTTTTATTTGAAAGATAAATATAACAATAAAACCTAGTGATTTATTAACTATACCTTCAATGAGACAACAAATAATATATAACGTTAGACTATACTAGACTATAGAAGACTCAATATTTTAACAATATTGTTCTCGTAATTGTTGTCCTCGCCCAACTCCATGTGAAATAGAAGTAGGTTCATAAACTGTAGCTACCAAAACTAACGATAGACACACATAAGACGTTTAAGTGCATTTCGTAAAGTTTTACGAGAAAGAAAATGGATTTCAAGTGAAGAAAGTAAGATGCAAGTATTGTGAAAATATTTATAAAGCTGATGCAGGTAAAGGTGATGGTACTAGTGCTTTAAAAAGACATGCTGGTAAACATATAAATCATTATGGAAATAGAAAAACCAATCAAACTCAAATAATTAGTATGGGTAATACTTGGCGTTATAATTCTGATGTATATAGGGAACAATTAGCTTCATATAATGCTGCAACTGATCAACCTATTAATATGGCTAAAGATAAATATTTTGAAATATTTATTAAAAATTCATTTTTACCAGAATTTAAAACTTATTTAAAAAATTCAACTAGGAATGATTTAATAAATTTGTTTAAGAAAATGAAATTAGAATTAAGAAGTAAAATGCATAGTTGTCATGTTAGTGTGACTCTAACAGTCGATATTTGGAGTGTTAGAGCTAAACAAGATTATATTTGTATGACTAGTCATTATTTTGATAACAAATGTAAATTAAATAAATCTTTATTAGAATTAAATTAATGGATGTGGATCATAGTGGTCAACAAATTTATTATAAAATTATTGAAATTTTAGAAGAATATGATTTGGTTAACAAAGTAATAAGTCTAACTTTAGATAATGCAAGTGCTAACAGTAGAGCTGTAGATTTTTTTAAACAAAATTTTCTTTTTATGACAATTTGAATTTTTTTCACCAATGTTGTGCATGTCACATTATTAATTTAATGGTAAAAAGTGGTATGAAAAAAATTAGAAATAATATTGATAGAATTAGGGATTGTTTAGCTTGGATTACTAGTAGTAATAGAAGAAATTCTGAATTTAAAGATGCATGTAGAACTTCAAATTTGTCTCCTAGAACTTTTGCATTAGACATTCCAGTTAAGTGGAATAAAACTTATTTAATGTTTGATTCATGTTTACCTTATGCAAATTTACTTAGTTATTTTTTAGCAAATAAGAGGGTCCTCATTTTTTTGTAGAGAGTGATTGGCATATAGCTCAAAAATTTCATTCTTTTCCTAAAACTTTTTATGTTGCCACTTTAAAACTTTCTAGTGTGTATTATCCTACTAGCCCATTGACAATACATACAATTTTATAAATTTCAAATTTATTTGCTCGAAACAAAAACAATGAAATTTTAGTAGGACCAATATAAGCAATGGAATTTAAATTTAAAAAATATTGGAAACCCATTCTTTTTCTTTAATGTTTAGCTGCCATATTTGATCCTAGACTTAAATTAGCAGGTTTAGAAAATGTTTTAGACATGTTAAGTGAAAGTTTACAAGAAGAAGACTATGCCAATAAACTAGGACAAATAAGAGAGTGTCTTGGAGAGGTATATTTGTAATATGAAAGCACGTATGGGAACCAGAGAAAAGGTGCAATACCCGAGGAAGAACCAACAGAAGACACAAATGCAGACTTCAACTCCTGGAGTGCAATTAATAGGTGGAAGAAGACCCGAACCTGAAGCACAACTTCCTCTTTAAAAGCATCAACAACGAATATAATATTTTCCATGCAGATGTAGAGTAATGAGCTTTATCAATATTTGTGAACCCCTGACTTGTTGCCAGCAGATCCACAAGAAAGAGCCAACTTTGATGTCTTAGATTATTGGAAAACCAAAAAATATATTTTTCTGGTACTATCAAGACTTGCCCTGGATGTTTTCTCTGTTACTATCTTTATCGTCTCATCCAAACAAACATTTAGTGCAAGTGGAAGAATTTTTAAATGAAATGAGGACTAAACTTTCACCAAAATTAATTGAAGTCCTCACATGTCTTTGAGATTGGGAAACAGTCGCACCATCCAGATCAATACGAGGTTATTGACGATACTTTAATAGAATCATTTCAATTTTGTAATTTAGATGATACAGATGAGGGAGGTACTAGTCAACCCTCAAATTAGTTGTTTTGTAAATTATAACTTTGTAATTTGTAAATTATTGTACTTTTTTTTCCTTCTCAAGTTTTTGCCTCAATTGGATTTTTCTTGGTAAGGTTTTTAACGAGGCAATAATTGTTGTAATTTCTTATTTCTTATTTTATTTTTTTGATAAATGAATAAATTTAATTTTTCTTATATTAAAATTTAATTGTATTAAAAATGAATTAATATTTTAAATGTTAACTAAAAAAAATTAGTTTAATTGAATTGATATTTGAAAAGTTAATTAAAAAAATTACACAAAAGACAAAAACATTAAAAAAATAAAAAAAATTAATTTTTTTGGTGGGTTGGCCCAGCCCAACCTGCACGAAAGTCCTCCAAGTTAGGGTTACTGGGCCGAGCTAGGCTGACCCTTTTGAAAAAGAGGCAGGCCTAACTCGGCCTACACTTGCTGGCGGGCCAAGTTAGGCCCAACCCACCAATTGGCTAGGCCTGCCACGAGTCAGACCGAGTCGGGCCACTTTTCCAACCTTTATTTACGCGCTAAAGCCTAATACAGGAAAGTGCATGAATTACCTTGCCAAACGTGCAACAAAAGGTTTGAGCGGGGTTGTTGGTACTCCCAGTAATACTAGAGACTAGGAGTCCAAATATTTTTTCTTCAAATATGATGGAATTGGAAACTTTAGAGGTGGATGTAGGTTCTTGCGACCTCCCCCTCTTTTTTCTTTTCACTGGTTTTTTATTTATGTTTCTGCTAATAGATGGTGCTCCTCTTTTGCGTAGCCAATCGTGTAACAAACTTTTCTCAACTCACTGATCATACTAGGATTAGGCGATTTAGCGGGCTTTTTTCAAGGATTCGAGATATAATGAATCTCCTTGTTGTTGAGAAGTTAACGAAACATAGATTTTTGAATGCGTTGATAATTATAGATCCTTTGCCAACTATAGCTCACAAAAGTAAGACTTCCTTTTTGTCTTTGTATTTTGCATTGGTTGATAATCGATAATTTTGTCTTGGTTGTGCAAAGATTTCACCAAAAGCTCCCTCGAAGGGAACTGTCCAAGAGTCTAAACCTGCAGGGAAGGTAACTCTTCGCATTCCAAAGTTGAAGAAATGAGCTGAAGAGTCCCTTTCAACTCCTCCTATGAAAATAAATCAATGTCTGGTCATCGTAGGTTGAAACGTAAAGAAAGGATAGACAACATGGAGTCTTTGCCTTCTCCCTAAGCTGCAGGTACTCCTTCTCAAAAAACTCTTGAAGGGAGGCCTTAACGGATGGAGACCTCGGAGTGAGCTGAGGCCCCTGTTTCATAGAGCAAATGAGAGAGGCTGCTGAAGGGACTCCTACTATGGGAGCTCATGGGGACAACTAGACGTTAGCTGCACCATTAAGACCAAGGAGACCTTTCACAAAGGAGGAGAAAGGAAAGAAAGTTCAAATCCCAGATCTGAAGAAAAGAAAGAAGCATTATCCCAGTCCTGCTCCCGGGGAGAGGTTGAACATGCCCCATTTTTATCACAAAGATGCTCCTCGTGTGCGCCCTCGCTTTTCTTTTCAAGAGCAAACTGCTCCTCCTCGCGAGAACCCTGTAGAGCGAACTGCTTCTCCTCACAAGAGTGGCAATGCTTCAATCCCTAGGCAATCAGGTCCTACACCTTAGGGGCCTCTTGGAGTTACAGGTGATCGCTAGAGAAATGACTGAAAACTTCTAGAATACATGTCAATCCACGCGCTCATGTTGGCGGATTGTTTGTCCAAGGCGTTCTGGGGAGAGTTGAAGATAAATAATTGCATTACCCTTCTCCAGCGTTTCATGGAGTTGCACAGCCAGGTACTTAGTGATTATCTTGTGTGTTTACTTATATCTACGCGTATGACTAACTAAGTTGTACGTTTGTAGGCTCACGCGGTAGGGACAATGCTGTTGCAAGAGATTTTTACCCCTTTGGGTAATTTGAATGTTGATCGAAAGAGACTGAATAAAGTTGAGGAAGAGCTTGATGAGCCATGAAGGGATGTCGAGGTTATACGTGCGTAGCTCGAGGAAAGAGATCGCATTCCTGAGGACATGCATGAGATGTCGCGTGAAATTGAAGATAAAAACCAATAGTTACATCGTCTCACCATAGACATGTTGTTCATTGACAGATAAATAAAAGAGGTTGAATGGGATTGTGATCACTTTGATGAGCACTTAGATTGTATAAGTGATTAGGTGACAGCTTGCTAGGCTGAGCAAGATCAAGTAGTAGCTGAATCCAACGACCTTAGGAAAGAGTTGGAGGCAATGAGGAGCTTGATGGAGGAAGCGAGATAGTTTGCAGAAGAGGCTAGACAAGAGAGCAAGGCATCGGCTAAAGAGGTCACAGACCTTATAAGTGTTGATGCTGATTACTGGCACCAACCAATTCTCACGTGGATATTGCTATTTGATGAATTAACACACGCGATGATGGATGCATGAAGTGAAATAAATGCAAAGAAGACTTTTATAGTGGTTCGGATGCTCAACGAGCGACTCCTACATCCACTGTTATTTTATTTGATCTCTCACTACTTCTATGAATTTGCTCGTAAGGCATACAAAGATGAAGTACAGTGTTTTTACAGAGAGAATGAAAATGAAACTAAATCTTAGCCCA